CATCAACTATATATCCAATGATTAGAACTGCCCAGGCTACAACCTCAGCTATCGGCTGTTGAATCAGATCTGAATCAAGATGTCGATCGAATTACTCGAATGCACAACCAGTTCACTACTGTATTGGCAGAATATAACGAATTTGCAAGTAACAAATATGATATACAACAGTGTTTTTGTAATCCATACTAACCAGTTTATTCAAAATAGAATATGGCCGTGTCTCAGCTGTTTTTGCAATATCACTATATTTTGGCAGAGCTCGAGCAAAAGTTGTCAGTAGCTAATTGATTGGCTTCCATAGTAAGCAAAATCGCTGGGCTCTCTGTTGACTATAAATCTCATTTTCTCCAGCTTTTAGGATATACTCCAGAGCTTAGCATACCTTGGCAGTCATGAAACGTACACTTGTATTTTACCACTGAGCGCGAAAATACTACATCTTTGCTCTGAATGGATGGTCACGAATGTTGCATTGAATGAATCTCCTGGTGGAGCCAAACTATGAATTTGAACTACTTGAACATTTCAAACTTTTGAATACCTAGACATGCTAATATTTTGGTTTGTTAGTAATAAAAGATATGCTGTCGTGTATGCTTATCGATTTCCAATGCTTTGTATGGTTGCACTAAAATAGCGACACGGAAGCATTCTGCCAACTAGCTCCAGAGTTTACAATGTGTTTGCGTTGCATATATTTTAATTCATTTATTGCTGAGTAGTGTCATCAGGAAGACTGCCATTGTCACTTTGTGCAATCTCATTTTGCTCACTTATGGCTCCGTCTTGCACTACTTCAGAATCGGCTATTTCAAAAAATGGGTTCCGTGTGTTCAAAAGTGATACCAGTTGCTGGTACTGTACAGACTCTGCATCAATTGAATTATACTAAAAAATAATGTTAAAATCGATTTCCAAGTATCAAGATTATTATAATAATTTAATACGATTACCTGTAAATTGAGTCGAAATACACCGAGTAAGCCATCTGGGGACTGATCGTTGGTGGTTTCTTGTTCAATAATTGCGTCACTGAGCGCTTTGAGTCCCAACATCCCAATACCATTATGAGAGAGATTCAGGCTGTTTAGGGTTCGATTTCCCAAAAGATACCATTGTCCGTTAAATTCAAACATTGGCTCAACACTGCTAGCAGACTCCATGTTCTAAAAATTAAAGCGACATGATTGTGATATTAGATTCAGTTGGCCAATATTTGAACATAAAAGACTGGTGTCTTGAGTATAGAAGCCACCTACTTCGTCCATATCTTCCTTTGTATCTTCCAATTTAACCTTTTTTCCGACTTTTGTTGGTAAAGCGCATTTCTTGTCCTTTCCCTTTCTATCGTCTGTTCCATTTGAAACCATTTTTTTGTTCTTGTCGTCTGGGGTTTTGATGGGTCTTTGTGTAGCAACAACATCCAGTCCTTTTTTGGAAAGTGGCTTGGGTTTAGCTTTCCCCTTATCGTCTTTCTTGTCATCACTATCGGTATGAATAAAAATTGAGTAGTATCATTTAGTTCTGAATGAGCAAGCTTTAAAACAGATATACACGTACAATGGTTTTGCCGAAGCGCCTCTGCCTGCTCGATTCTTTTTTTTAGATGCAGTATCCTAAAAATGCAGTAGAAATGATAGTATTCCAATGAATGATGCATGATCACTGCATGTATTTGAATGCTGAATGTAAATATCAAGTAAACTGATATACACCTACATCTTCCATATCATGTCGCAATCGATCCATTTCGGCAAGCTGTTTGCGTCGATTTTGCAATTCTTCTTGGGTCAATAAATAGTTTGAAAGGCACTAGATATAATTTACATTCCGTTACATTTGCATATATACTTTTTGATCAGACAACAATTGATTGCAGCGTTATATACCTTGGCAAACGAAGCAGCACCCTCATCTCCAATTGTATTCTTTCCAAGCGAAAGAACCTGTAAATTGCAGCCAAACCGAAGGGACTAGTGTATTATTTTCAAATTCACAAAAGGATTAAAGCTAGAGATATTTGGCCCATTAAACTAGACATGAATTCATCCAAATCTATTGCAAAGTTCCACTCACCTCGGCCAGTATTTCCGCGCCGTCTTTTGTAATACGATTGTCCCACAGATTGAGATTAGACAAGGATCGATTTACTTTTAATGCTGCAGAAAATGATTGACACCAATGTCCGAAATCCCATTCCTCGAAGTGACAGTGATTTTAGCATTGAGTCGTCACCAAGAAAACTCGAGTAAAATGATTCTGGTATACTTGGGTTCTGGTCAAGAGCGAGCGTGCGGATATTGATGGTTGGAATGGCTGTCGCCAATAGATTAGCATGCGACTCTGTCAATCCGCAATTCCAGAAACTGCATTCAAGCGCTTCATTAGTCGAGATATCCAATTCAGCAACACACTTGAAAAAGTGTACGGGCTAAAGCATCATGCACGATGCAATTTCCTGAAATGGCATATTTTCCAGTGCTGTACTTACTTTAGATGAGTGATCGTGGAACATGCCGTAATGGCCAGATTAATAGCTTCCATGGTTGGTATGGAGACTTTCCATCCTCGCACTTCAATCTTGTACACCTCCTCTTCATATTCATACTCGTTGGATTCAACATCGATTGTAGGGGAAAATTTAAATCGTGACTGATAATTGATATTTGGAATTGAAAAGATTCGTGAATGGCGTAGTTTTGTAGTGCTCGTGCTTAAATCTGGCATGCTGCGTTTAGTCTTTTCCAAATGCGATTTTGGTGCATGTGTTGTACTGCGTGCAGGTAGCGAAATGAGGGTTGTAGCGCTGACATGGTTACCTTCATCTGAGTGGATTCCGCCTGGTGGATTCGACTTTATGTTTGGAGTAGCCTCGACATAATGATCTTCAGCAGATACAGCTTGACTATCTTGAGACGCACGACCACCGTATTTTCCTAGCAAGTTGGAATCTCCAGTCAGATCTAGCTTGGAACGGCGCATATCATCAGCAACTGATACATTTGTCGTATCCACATTTTGAGGCGAGTAATATGGAAGTGGAGGCAATGGTAGACCGAATTTCAATACATTGAATGGTTTGATACCCAAACGACGGCATGTCTCTGTATAGTCTTGCTCGAAATTACCAGTCAAGTCCTGCTGCACTATTTTATTGCAAATTAAAATGCACGTATTTAGCTGGATGGTTTATTTTTGAATTCAAGTGGATACGCATTGTATTGGTCCAATACTGTTGATAATGAAATGCCAGCAGTAACTGGATACAATAGAATGTACAGAATGAAATAGATATATGTGGCTACACGACACATGCATTTCCCAATGGAAACAGTTATTCAAATCAAGTTTCTAGTCAACTACACCTTCGTTATTTATTTCTTCCGACATTTTTAGTTTAATTCCAAAGTTGACGTGCATGCACAGAACACATGGTTGGTCCTCAGGTGAAGCAGTTGTCGCTCTTGAATCAATCGATTTGTAAAAACATATCAATCGAGTTACGAGACTGTTGGATTCTCTTGAATCATAAAACCACCTTCAAGTCGCGCACGACTCGACCCAAAACTTGAATAGTTTGCATGAGTCAAATCGAGCAGAATGTGCTAGCATTCACCACTGGATTGGCCTTGACGCTGACAGTCTATACTATCTGGACTAGCTTTCAAGAAACTACTTTTATCAGCCATTCTTCTGAATCAAAAAAACGCATTTCTTCTAAACCAGAGGACAGTGAGTGAACCATCAAGTCTGGGATTTAGTATTATGAATCGGGGATTTAGTTTGCAGTCCAGTCCATTAGTCTGGCATATGAGCGTGGTCATTGTTGTAAAGTTGTTGATGGAATGACTTGTTTCGTCATACCAATCACTGTGGACTTGACATGAAGCTTGAATGCATTGCATATTCCAACCTCTTGTGGATTGGACGGTTATTGATTTTGCTTGTTTGAACTATTAGCACTAAGTCTCGAAGCGCTGGCCGAGTTGAGTCGATCTGGAAATCTGTTACTTCAAGATAGGTGTGCTTGCATTGCTCAATGTATAGCCTGTTGAGTCAATGTAGTTCAGCAAGTATTACAGCTGCTGAATTCAATATAATTTATAGTGCATCTCAAATCTTATTGGACAGAGCCATGTCAGGTAATTCATTGTATCGAGTAAATATCTGCTGTTT